GTCCGCAGAAAGGTTTTTAAAATACCTCCCAGGGAAACACTGGGCAACCACAATAAAGTTCCGAGAAACATACCTTGCACCCCCTTCTGATCCCCCCCTCCAACTCCCCCCACCCCGCATGGCATTTCTCAGACACAAACTTCCCATTGACGCCGAGCAAACCCATTGACTGACGCACAGCTGATAGAAACACACACAGACACACAAAGCGCGCAGGCTTTTCTTAACCTACGCTGATTCCAAACCATTCCCAGTGGCATCCGCATACCAGACTTCCAGACGTAATTTAATTCAGTGCTCAGTTCAGCCAGCTGGCAGTGGCAGCTTGAATGGCTTGAGTTGGCACAAAAGTGTATTGCACACAAAAAGGGGCTGGGGGGGTGGGGGTTGAGAAGAGGAAGAAATGCAATCCAAGCCACCAAATAAACAAGAGCAAGCAACAACAGGCTACTAGTTAAAACTTCATTTGAGAAAGAGGGAGAGAGAGAAGGCAGCTTTCGTCAGGAATAGCTCCACGAGCTTGAGGATACAGTTCCCCACACTTTGCTTGGAGGGTGGCGTGGTTTTGGAAGGGATAGAATTTGATCCCAGAGACACAACACAGTCATTTGATAGAGACTATTATTCCCAAACAGCTTAGCCCATGGAGAGATGTACGCTCCCAGGCAGACAGCGCAGTGCCACTCCTGCATAGCTCGCTTTTCTGTCTGCCGGCCAAGAGATTAAGGGGGGGGGGGAGCCGCAAGAGAAAAATGCTCACCTGTGCTTTGGGCAGAAAGGAGGAGCCAGCCTTTCCCTCATGGGCTACATTTGCCAGGCTTAGGAACTTTCTTGGAAAGAAATGGAGCCACAAATTCATCAGGACCAGGGCTCAGAATACAGATACTTAGGGAGACCCCTTATTACATTAAACAGGTAAATTTCCCTTGCATGCCCACTGCAAATCACCCCTCCCAGCCCAAACTTCTATTTGGACAGAAGTTGCAGGTGGGGGATGAATAATAATAATAATAATAATAATAATAATAATAACAACAACAATAATAATAATAATTCTGTGTGTGAAATTCAGATCTCCCCGTCTCACTTGTCTCTCCCACCAATAAACAGAATCGACGGCTTCTCCTGTCCCTGGACTTTGGGTGAGCTTTCCCCCTCTGTTATAAAGGGCTACTGACTGATACTTCACCCCTCTGCCTTGGCCATCCCTGTGAACATCACAGCTTATCCCAGAGACTCAGGGCAGCTTGAAGGTGATGGCCAGATGAGCCTAGGGCATATAAAAGAATGCATCCATCCATCCATCCGTCTATCCGTCTGTCTGTCTGTCTGTCTGTCTACCTACTGATGTATAATAGCCCACCCTTCATCAAGTCCCAGGGTGGGTTAAAGCAATCCAAAAATCAATATTAAAAACAGTTAAAACAAACTGCAGTCACAGGAACAGAGTAATGGATAAATTTCGTCCCACTTGGTGTATTTTTATCCAGGGGAACATCAAGTGCCTTCTACCTACACTAAGGCGAGCTCAGGTGTAAGAGAGTAATAGCGCTGAACTTTACCATTTTCTTGCTTGGGAAACTAGGAGGGTGGGGTGGCTTGTGAGATGCTGTGCTTAAATCACGGGATGGAGGAGGAAGAAATGGCCTGGTCCTTTTTCTGGGATCTGGCTAAAAAATGATGAAAGGGGTTTGTGGAATGAATTCGTGGGCTCCCTGGATGGCTTTTAAAAGAGGATCAGACAAATTTACGGGACATAAGGCTATATCCATGGCTACTAATAAGCATGATGGCTATGCTCTGCCTCCACTCCATCTCATTATTAGATGAGATTGTGTCACGCATGTTCTGGCACACATAAGCTAGAGTTGCCATACGTCAGGGATTTCCCGGGATTTCAATGGCGGAATTAGCTTCCGGGGGATTTTTGGGGGGAAATCGGCAAAATGTCCGGGGGTTTTGCCCACTGAACAAGGAAGTGTGTGTTAGAATATCACTCTTTGCTCTCCTTTGGGGCGGGGGGGGGGTAATTCCCCCCAAAAGCTCAAAACTATGATGCCGATTCCCCCCCCAAAAAAGCCAAATAACTTTTGTTTCTGGATTTTTACTTCTTGAAATATGGCAACCCTACATAAGCACGCCCAGAGAGCACACTTCCTCTTCAAGTCGTTGAGTCACTGCAGCCAGTTGCCATGCAGTGGGGATTTAGAGAGCCAGGTGTTTAGAAGATTTGAAACCTGGAGGCTAGGTGTGTCTTAAACAGGTAAGGAGAAATTGGGATGGGGTGGCGAGGAGCACTTTTCGAGAAGGCATTGAACACCACTGCAGACTGTTTTTATCCGAAACTATGTTCACAGACAAGCAGCCATGGAAACAATTCTTTAAAAAGAGGGGGGGGGGAGAAGACGGGGGTTCTTCTCTCCAAAATCTGCTCTGAGTTCCAATGGTGGAAGAGCAAGCCCTTGGATCGGGTATTTGGGAGGGAGACTAGATGACTCTAAGGGTCCCTTGCAAATCTATAGTTCTATGATTCTATAATTTCTTTTATGCAATTGGCTGCTAAGTGCTGAATTTAGTGGGGTGAGTGGGAGGGAAGGGATAAGATGATTGGTGAGAGTGCCTTTTGGCTTCCACACGTGGTTCAGTGCCAGCATAAGCAAACAAAATGTGAGGCAAACCACCCAGTCCTGCCAGTTACCTTGGAGCAGAGTCTGCTGAATCGCAGCTGATCCGCCAGCCACTAGATATTCCCTGAAGTATTACATTTCCTGCATTTCTTCCCAAGGGTGCCCCAAAGAACTTCTATAACCACGAACCAGACCCTTGTAAAAACTTTTATTTGCTTGCTTAACTTTGAATTAATTAGTTCGGGTTCAACAATATTCCCTGATCTGGCCTTGTCAGCTGAATGCAGTGTGTGTGTGTGTGTGTGTGTGTGTGTGGAGAGAGAGAGAGAGAGAGAGAGAGAGAGAGAGAGAGAGAGAGAGAGAGAGAAGTGGAGGGGGAGGATATGATATTATTTTATGATATGGAATTATTTATTTACAACCTGCTTTCCGTATCATAGCATACACCTCAAATCAGCTTACAAATTAGAACAATAAAACAGCAACTGTATAAAAACCATGATCTCCCATAACCAGTTTCAGCAATAAAACAACTTTTTAAAAAATACACAATGTGATTGGCCAAATAAAAAGAAATGAAAGAATAAAGCCTCGAGCTGCAGCGATGTGCTCAAGTTTGTGGGGGTTAGGCCACCCAGCTGTGTGGTGTAGTGGTAAGAGCACTGGTGGGCAACCTGCACCCCTCAACCTAATTTCTTGAACCTCCAGCAGCCTCTGGGGACTGGTGGACAAATCTACCACTGGTTTTGGCCCTACAATTATTAACATATGGCCCTCCACAGATTACCCCACAGAAGAATGTGGTCCTTGGTTAAAGTGTCAAGCTAAGTAGGACTGTGGAGACCCAGTTTCAAACCAGCCTTAAAGCCCATTGGGTGATCTGGGGCCAGTTGCTGTCTTACTAATACTACTACCACCACTAATAGTACCCCGCCCATCTGTCTGGGTTGCCCCAGCCACTCTGGGCAACTTCCAGCATACAGAAAAACATAATAAAACATTAAAACATTGTAAACTTCTCTCTACAGGTGTCTTCTAATGGCTATATAGTTTTTTTATCTCCTTGACATCTGCTGGGAGGGCGTTCCACAGGGCAGGCGCCACTACTGAGAAGGCCCTCTGCCTCACTTCTTGCAATGCGGGGAACCTCTGGAAGGTGCTTGGAGCTAGATTCCTACCTCTCAGGGTTGTTGTGAGGATAAAACCATGTTTGGAGGGGGAATCATGCACACTGCCTTAAGCTCCTAGGAGAATAAACAAGCAAGCCTGGTTACCAGAAACAAGGGACGGGGGGTGGCTTATATGAGACTTACAAAACAAAACAAAAAAGGGGGCAGATTTGAGCAAAATGTGCATTTGTCGATTTGTATGTATATGCAGCACAATCCATTTCGCCACAGTGAGGAAAGACTGTGTCAGTTCAGGTAGCTCCATCTGTTGCCCAGGTACTAGCAGGTGATCTGTGGCAAGTTCAAGGGCTCTGCTCCCCCTTCCCAAGTCTAAAGCAAAATAGTTGCACTATTTTTACGGACCTCTGATGTATTCCCACTGTGAAAGGAAGCCAATGGGGATGGTGGTGGAGCAGAATTCCTACCCATCTCATTGTGGTTGGTAGTGATACCTTCCTACTTGCCCAGTGGCTGGAGCCACAACAAGTATTGAATGGGGCTGGGCATCCTCAGATTTTGGCCTCGGTATGGGGGCCTGAGCAGGTCTCAGACACACCTTGAACTGCATTTGGGAATCATTAGGAAACTAGCACAGCCGCTGAATAAAAAGAAAAGGGGGTGTGTGATACTTCTGCCAGCAGCCAGCCCCCAAAATTTGACGCCAGTCTTCAAGGGCAGCCCCACGTAGAAAGCACTACAGCAATCAACCCTGCGGATTATTCAACCAAGGTTCTTGATGACAGTGTCCTTGTTCTCTGCAAGGGAAGGTTGCTAGTCAATACGTCAAACGCAACCGACAAAACTCGTCCTTCGCCAAAACCCTTGAACTCAGAAAACCTACAACAAACCCGAGAGGCACTTTACTTAAGGAAGAAAATCAGTAAGAAAAATGGCCAGCAACTGGGTACCGTGCCATGTTCCCCGTCGTTCCTCTGCACCCATCCTTTCCAAATTTTGCGGGGTGGCTTGCCCTTTCTCGCATTACCCCCCCCACACTAAACAAACAAACAAACAAAGATAAATAAGCACAACCTTAACGCACCACACACATCAACTCAGCCTTATTTACCGTTTTCCACAATGCCTTCAACATCTATGAGAGCAATCGCTGCCAGCGAGAGTTTCACTGGAACCAAAAATTTTTAGTGGGGGCTGGAGGATAGAAATTTACCCAGCAACAGTATCCAAACTCTCCTCTCTGGCTCCCTGCTGCTTCCCACTCTTGCTGGCGTTTGGTGCTTGAAGCAGAAAGGGAGAGAAAAAAGCGCCAATCTCCATTCAGCGAGCGCAGAGCGTGCATATATATATGTATGTATATATAAATACACACACACACACATATATATGGTGTGCATATTGTCCCAACCATCTCAATCCTCACCACAGGGAATTGTCTAGAGAGCCTGTAAATAAACAGAGGCCTTTAAATCCCCCCCCAAAAAAAGAGGGGTGGAAGAGAGGAGCAGGGGGGCTTTTCTTTGTATTGTAATGAGATACATGTCCAGAAAAAATGTGGCTCTGAGGAGGTTGGGGCAGCGGGGGCGAGGGGAGAAGGGTAGCCACAAAGGCCTGTCAGACGCAGGGCCCTCCACCTCATTTGAATGTTTGGGGGGGGGAGAAAGGGGGCATTCAAGGGCTCCCTTTGTAAAGAAAGCCTTCCCCGCACAACCAGGAGGTGGGGGTTGGGGAAGCAGGAGGCGCTGGGCCTTTTTTGTTTGGCTGCAGCCATAAGGGGTTAAAGGTAAGAGCAGCCCGGCTTTGGGGGGGGGGCGCAATCCTCTTGTCCTTGTGTTAACTGCTTTCACCCTGGGTACGGTTGGCTGAATCCTAGACAGCTTTAAGCACTCTGGCAGACAGACAAGGGAGCCTCAAGGGTGGAGTTCAAGCAGGCAGCTTTTGACAGTCACATCACGAGCCCCACTCTGCGGTGGGAGAGTCGCAGGGGGCCGGGAGAAGTTCACAGAGGAGCCCATGGAATTGCTCGCCTCCCCCCCGCCCACCCCAAGCCCCGTCCTGCACAACCCCTGCCCCGCAATCTTCCTCCCTGCACCAGCCCTGTTTTAGGAGCGCTCGTCTTCCAGAGCAGGAAACGGTTCCCACTGATGCAATTTTGCGCAGCGCATGTGTGGACGTGGGGCTGGAGGCAGCCAGTGTGTGTGAGAGAGAGTGAGGGGGGAGTCTGCGTTTAAAGATTTACCGCAGGGCAGAAAATGCCCCTCCAAAAGCAGGGCCAGGCATTCTTTCTGCCCTCCTCCCACAAAAGCGCCTGTTTTGTTCATTCGTTTGATGACATTTGCAACGCCGTACATGTGCTTTGTACATTACCTTGAGTGTCTCTCTCTTTTTTTAATGTCAAAAAGAAAGTCAAGGGAAACAAAAGAGGGGAGAGGAGAACTAAGTTAATTTCAGATGCATATTCCCAGGTATTCCTCCCACAAAACATTTGTCAGCGTTAGTAAGAGCAATATGTGCCTTATGAAAGAGAATAAGCAATGTCAATATAAGTTGATTATTGGGACCCAGCTGCTGGGAAGTCCCACAGCTTGAATGCACATTTCCCTAGAATCTGGAAATGAGGTGGGAATACACAAATATTGGTTTGTTTCTCTCTCTCTCTTTTTCTGCCAAGACCCCCAAAAACTCTTCTGAATCCCTTCTTAAGGTCCCATTTCCATCTGATTCCCAGACAGGGACTTTTCAGTGATGGTGCCCCATCCTCAGGAAGGTTCACCTAGCACCAACTTATTGTTTGGGCACTAGGTGAAGATGGTTTGGGGGTTTTGTTTTGGGTTTTTTTCGTCAAGAAATTTTGGGTATTTTGATATTGTCCAATCTGACTAGTATGTTTTGTGTGTGTGTGTTTCAAAGAGTGTTTTTAACATTGTTAAAATGCCCTGCTGTTCTTTTGTTTTACCGGGGTGGTTATTGTTTTGGAATTGTTGGTTTAAATATTTAGCTGCCCTAGAAACTCTCTTTAGAGTTAAAAGATCAAAGTAGAAATGTTGGCAAATGAATTAATAAAATCACATAGTCAGATAATTGCTGTGATTTTATACAGGAGCACGTAATGCAAACGCCATTAAATCAGACGGCAAAACAAACATACTACCAGCTAATCAATCAGTTTATTAAAAGGTCATTAAATCATCTTAATGGTACAGAAAGATGTCGCTTGCCCAGCCCTATCATACAAGGAGGCACCTTGAAGATCCAGGTGGCTTGGGAGCACTGATAAGCATCACACCCATAACCTTGGGGGATCAAGTTTCTATCCCTGAGTTATCATTGGGTATCTGTCCCCTTCACTTCTTCTTCCTTCCATTTGACTGGGGTTATGCAATTATCATGCAACCAGGGAGAAGGGGTTCATTTTCTATAACCAATCAACATCTTATGCATCAATAGCTTTTAACTCACACGCACAGGTGAGCTTCATCAGAAGCTGAGAACTCGCAGGAGGAGGCCAGGCACCTTCCCACCCCCGCCCCCCAAAGTGATCCTCTAGCTCCACCTCTATAATTTAGAATCAGTGCAAATACAGAGCAGGAATATTGATGCCTTTGCTATACAAGAGGCCCTTCTCACTTGGAGAGAGTGGTACATGAAAGCTTAAGGAGCTCATGGATATATTTTCTTGCAATTCACATTCACAAAGTATTGTTTTTGAGAAGGCGTAAAGAGGAGTTGAATTCACTGGGTCAATTCAGTCCGCTAGTCAGACCTGTTTGGGGAGAGGAACCCCTCAAAATCTAATCACTGATCAATATATTACTACTATAGTAGTGCTAGTAACCCAATAACAGTGCGTCCCCCAAAAATCATTTGAGGAACAGAAACAAACTACACAGATTTACCATTCTGCTCATGCCTATTTATGTATTTTTCGTATATATGCATTTTGTATTTGGCTTCCTAATCATTGTCACTTTTCAATTAGAGGAGACCTCATTCCATTTTTCCCCCTTTGCAATTCTCCCCAGGGAAGAGTGATGGATGCACCAAGCTTTACGCGACGGACAAATGTGGCTTCGAAATGCAAAGTAAGGTCACACTAATTTAATTTAGCATAATTTTTTTTTACTCCTGCATACATTTCAGAGGCAGGTTCAGACACTGTGTTGGAGTGACACAACCTGCTTCTTTGTGTTTTCTGTCTAGACAAACACAGACGCTTTGGGAATCCGGGCAGCGTGAACAGGGAGCAATGCATAGATTGCTTTTACAGATAAATATCCCCACTAAACACACACACACAAACATTCCCATAAGCGCTATCAGTTTCAAGGACTGAGTGAAAACTTAGTGACAGGTCACTGAGGGTTGTCAGCAAGCCTACAAATTGTCTCAGGAGTTTTGTTTTTTTGCAATAGCCAGTTTTCTCAATTATGGCTCCAAACCATATTCTAGTGGGACTTGATGGGGCCTTTTGCGGAAAATGTGGTTCTTGCCTAACAGCAGAGCATACTGAGCACAACTCCAGTGGTGTGTTGGGTAGAATGATGAAAGAGCCAGTGCACAAACGAAACACCGCAGGTGTGCATGAAGTTTACAAAAATTATTAATGGAAAAAATAATAATAACTAGCACTAGCCCTATTCAGTTGTTCTGCACTCTCAAACCCATGCAGAAATGGTTGAATGAAGGGGGGAAATGGAGACCAACTCATTGGACCGTCTCCATCCTAGGAGCCCCTTCTGCAGTCCCACAGCCCTCCATTTACTGGTGGCTGTGGAAGGAAGCCTGCTGAACTCAAGTAGGATCTCTGCATGATTAAAGAACCCCGAACCTCCAGGCTTTAAAATAATGCAGGAAGTCTCCTCGAGTAGAAACAGGCTTTGCACTACAGAAGGTCAGTTGGAATGGCGATGGGGATGTGTGGAAGAGGGCAGGGCCTGGCAGCTCTGTCTCTCTGTCTGTCTCTGCATTTGTGTGTAGGGGATGCAGGGCAAAATGAATGGGACTGAAATGGATTTGCTCTCCAAAAATCCCCTTTGTGGATTCTGGCAGCAAATGTTACCTGGATATACTCCTGGCTTATTGCAGGGATGGGAAACCTCAGGCCCTGCCGATTAATACACCCCTCTGTCTGATCTTTAAGACTCTTCCTAGGCTGCCCCTAAAGAATAAATTATTATTATTGGCCCTGTTTAGGGAAGTTTTTAATGTATGATGATGTATTGTTTTTAATATTCGGTTGGAAGCCGCCCAGATGGGTGGGGTATAAATAATAATAATAATAATAATAATAATAATAATAATAATAATAATAATTTTATTGCTTGGCACCCTCTTTGAGCACCTGTCCTTGAACTCCAGAGATACTTCTTTGCTTGCCTGGATAGACATGTGCAAAGGGGACTAGCTCACCCTATAAAGGTGTTGCTCTCCTTGTTGTTGCCTCTGGCCTGCCCACTATGTGGCCCCCTGAAAGGCAGGCCATAAGGGCAATGTGGCCCTTGGTTTATGGGTATCAGTTAGGTACTGCCACTTAACATTAGCACTTGGCACACAAAATATCCCAGAATTGAAACAAACTTTTGTTTTGAGGGCAGTCTACATCTGGTAAGATTCTGAGAGCTGACATGCAGAAGGAGCCAACATTTGACGGTATTTAACATCTCAACAGTATTGACAGTATCGAACAGTGGATATGCTGCAGCAGACTGAATTTTTCGTCGTATATTTTTAACGTCACAACCACTGTTTAACTGTACAGTATCTCGTAAGAGGACTTGCAAAAAGCACATAGTTACTCTAACTCAGTTTGACAAACCAGGGAACGTTCACTGAATCGGCACAATAGCATGGAAAATGTTATCAATTCTATTTTGGTGAATTTTGGCAAAGATTAGGAAACGAAACCTATATTTCACATTTTGAGAATTTGATTTTTATTATTTAAAAAATGTCTTAGAATAGAATCTCAGGTTTTTTTATTCTAGAATCTTTGGAAACTTTGGTATTCTTGCACATAAGAAGTTTTGTGGACCATTTCGTGGTCCTTTGGAAGAGAAGCAAGAGTAGCTACATTTCAAATTCTGGAGATCATTACCATGTTTCAATATTCGAGCTACATACTGGAAGGGAATGGTTTGTTTCAATGCTAGCTCCCTTAATTACTTCGAAAATAAATAAATAACCAGGGGATTTCTGGAAACCCAGAGAAACCCAAACTTCCTAGAAGCCTGTGCACTCTTCCATGAACCATCTTTTTTTTTTAAAAAAAAAAGCAAGCAAAAAAGAGCGCTGCCCTACTAAATCTCTCTCCTCCCTCTTCTCTCAGACACACACCCTTACTGGCTAGCAACCAAATATGTGCAAGACACATCCATGTCTGGACTCCTGGCTGCCCACAAAGATATGAGGGAGGGGGGAGTGTCTCAAATTTATGAAAATCTAATCTTGTTAGTCAATGCAATCTGTGTGACAAGGCAGAGCGAAACTCATTGTCATTCTCACCAGCAACCCCCATGCGGCTGACTTGCACCGGGCATGCAATTTCATTTATCTCTGCTCCAAGCGCAAGCCTAGCCAAGGTTTCCTCCTGGTTTGAATGAAGACCTGCTTCTTTAGAATCGCAAGCCAAATTGAAGCAGACATTTAAAGGAATAACTTTGCAAGGGGGAGCCAGGCGCTTTCAAATGCTGTAGCCATCGAGCGTTCGTAGACATAAAGAATGGACAAAATATGTTCCTCTCTCTCTCAAATATTACTTCTCGCCCTTCGTCTAAGGAACTTGGAGGGAGTTCCGCAGCCCTACTCAAGAGATGCCAGGAATTGAATCTGGGACCGTCTACAGCAGCTGCTTTAAGTCTGAGCCACAGCACCATGGGAATATGGATCAGAACCCAGCCCAGGTCTCCCTGATCCAAGAACTTCAGCCATTTTCAGGCTGTTCAGGAAGAATTAGTACATATGTGTGTCTGTGGTTAGGGGAGGATTTCAGCAGCAGTCTCACCACCAACTTATACACATCCATTATAATATTTCAGATATACAGGGCAGCCTACAGCCAGCTAGCTCAGGAGCAGATCCTGTCACTCCTTTCATTCCCTGCAAATGAACAAACTGAAAAGGCCTCCACACCACGCAGGCTCTCGGTCATAGCACATCAACCGAGAAGGGAGCATGCGCATATGAGTTTTTTGCTATTTTATCGCACCTGCAAGAGTACGCAATAATGGGATCGGGCTTGCATGTACAGTGGTACCTTGGGTTACAGATGCTTCAGGTTACAGACTCCGCTAATGCAGAAATAGTACCTCGGGTTAAGAACTTTGCTTCAGGATGAGAACAGAAATCGCGCGGCAGCAGCAGCAGGAGGCCCCATTAGCTAAAGTAGTACCTCAGGTTAAGAACAGTTTCAGGTTAAGAACGGACCTCCGGAATTAAGTTCTTAACCAGAGGTACCACTGTACTGTTTTACCTCCCAGTCCTTGTGGTAAAGTCAGTGACAAACTGCGTTTTTAAAGGAAACAGGCAAACAAATTGATAATCTCATGTTGGCGTTCTTTTGAGAACTCTTGGGTATGCGTCACCCATATCGGAAACTTGTGAATTAGTTTGTCAGTCCTAATACTTCACTCCATGTGACTGCAATTGGACTTAGTTCTTCAGGTGCCTTCTCCAAAATAAGTTGTTCAGGAGTGAGCATCTGTTCAACATCTCCCACAGCGAAAAGTGATGCAACAAATTCATTAGGCTTCTTCACTGCCACCCTCTATTCCTTCAAACATCTTTCTTGTCTCATGGCCCGATGGCCTCTGTCCCCAGTTTGACATACGTAAAGGCATTTTAATTGATTGCTTTTATTGATTGATTACCGTATTTTTTGCCCTATAGGACGCACTTTTCCCCCCTCCAAAAATGAAGGGGAAATGTGTGTGCATCCTATGGGGCGAGTGCAGGCTTTCAATGAAGCCTGGAGAGCGAGAGGGGTCGGTGCGAGTTCCCGTGGGCTCCCAAGGCTTGCGGATAGCAGCCTGTTCTGGGGGCTGGGGGAAGCTCGGGCGCCTGGGGGGGAAATAATTTTTTTTTCTTTATTTCCCCCCCCCAAAAAAAAACCCTAGGTGCCCTATAGGGCGAAAAATACGGTAAATCCTCTTCCAAAAATTGCTTGCCTTATTGTCAATTCACAGTTGTTTCGCCAGAGTTGCTTTCTGTTCTCATTTATGCAAGATGCCCACCTTTTGAAGCAAGGCTTCTTGCCTTCTGTAGCTTCACTGACTCTGCCCATTAACCATGCTGGCATCCTCTGAAGACATGTCTGCACCTTCCTTGTATTTTCAGTTGGTTTTTGCAGCCAACCGCACAGGCCCCTGAAGCACCGTGTGGCTCATTGCTCCGCTCTCTCCAGGAGTCTTCCTGCCTAACACAAACCGAGCATGGCCTATTTTCATCTGGGGAAAGGGTTTGAAAAACCAGGAAATGAGTCACTTTTTACAAGGAACGAGGTTTGCCTAATAAATATGGAAATTTGTAGCAACTTCCCAGTGTTCCTAAGGCCAAATTTTAGCAAAACTGGGCATAGGAAATGGAAACTGGGTAGCGGTGTTATGGAACTGCAACTATTTCTCCAATTATTATATCATCAGCAGACCAGATCTAACTGGCTTGGGAAAGAGCAGGGAGAAAAAGCAATCAGGGTCCAGGACGCCAATGAAGTTAGTAGGAAGGAGCAGCAAAAACAGAGGATTCGGCCATATAGAGATGATAAGGACAGAGTTGGGTTTTCAGGGCTTGGCACTGGAGCCTCCAACATTTTTAGGCCTGTAGGCACATTTGGATTTTTGAGTGAGTGGCATGAGCTCCAACCCTGTGGTCTTCTTTTTTCCCTTGTGTGAATAAGACAGAGGCAGAGGGAGAGAGAAATTGCATGCAAAGTTCGTTCTTCACACCTTTCCAAGGGGTGTGGACATAATAATTAATATGAGCCTTGAAAAACACAACAGAGGTGAAAGAGGAAGTGAGAAAGAATATCACTCTTCCAACTTCCTCCTTCAGGCCTATGTCCCATATTTTTCGCTCTACAAGACACACTTTTCCCCCTCCTAAAATTAAGGGGAAATGTGTGTGCGTCCTATGGAGCGAATGCAGGCTCCTTGGCTTCAGCAATAGCAATGTGAAGCCTCCGAAGCGCAGAGGGAGCGCTCTCGCTGCGCTCCGGAGGCTTCACATTGCTTTCGCTGAAGCCTGGAGAGTGAGAGGGGTCGGTGCACACCGACCCCTCTCACTCTCCAGGCTTCAGGGATAGCCGCCTGAAGCCTCCGGAGCGCTGCGGGACCTATCGCTGTGCTCCGGAGGCTTCGGGTTCCTTTTGCTGTAGCCGGGAGAGCAAGTCTCTCCTGGCTTCAGCAGAGAGGGAGAGCTGCTCAGCGCCCCTTCAGTGAAGCGGGAGGAGAAATGGAAGGGGCTCCATTTTTCCTGCCGCTTCGCTGAAAGGGCGCTGAGCAGAGAGGGGGATAATTTTTTTTCTAGTTCTCCTCCTCTAAAACAAGGTGCATCCTATGGTCGGGTGCGTCCTATAGAGCAATAAATATGGTACTTTTCACAGGGCTCTAAATATTATTTAGCATAACTCCAGACCGCTGGGATATGTTTTCAACTGGGCTTTCGGCTTTCACACACTGCCAGGTATTTCCACACAACCATTCAAAAGGCATTTCACCATCTAACAATGCCATGATACTGTTCTGCATGAGGTATGCAGTTTCCCTAACTGGCAACACTGGCTGAGATCCATGCATACATGTGTGTGTTTGTGAAGAGCAGGGGAAAAAACCCTGGTCTCTCTGGGAACACAGATGCAAACGGCACTTTGCACAGACTTGTAGAGCATCCCATGAGACAAAACAGAAAACCAGGAAGAAACCTGCAGTGTCCTGTTTCCCCCTCCCAATGGTGCACCCTCAGAGAATGTTTCTTTCCAAAAGGTATCTGCAGAATGTAATCCTAAATCAGCATCAGTATGATTCCCCCCCCCCATTGCTGACTGCATTGCTGGAAGCTATCCGGGGTGGGGGTAAGCTTGAATGCTAGAGCTTCTCAGCTAAGCACAAACACCTGTGTTGAATTCCAAAGATTATGCTGGATAGTTAGCAGAGAGGAGAGAAAAGCAGAGGGATAAAAGGATTAAAGGAAGATTCACAAAATATACATGAGTTGCAGGGTGGGAGAGATACAAACTACATGGCAGCAAAAAGCTCGGTCAGGAACATTGGTGAGTCAAGCTGAGTCCAACTTGGTGCTTTCCAGATATTTTGGAGACCACTGATCTAGAGGGCAGCAAATTTGGAGAAAACTTCTCTAGGCAAACTTATTTATTTGTTGCATTTAAATCCCACCTTTCCTCCCAGGATCTCAAGGTGAATTGCATACTTCTCACCCCCATGTCATCCTCACAACAAAGCTAGGTTAGGCTGAGAGTGAGCGATTGGCCCATGGTCACCCAGTGATTTTCATGGCCAAGTGGGAATTTGAACCCTCGTCTCCCATTTCCTAGCCCGGGAACTCTGACCCACTACACCACACTGGCTCTCTTGGGAAAGCGCCCTTCAGTTGTCCATCAATAAACTGCAGCTTCCACCAGCCCTAACCGAGAGCACTAGGTTGGTGAAGGGCGAGAGCGGGTGCCAATTTCACAACTGCAATAAACCATGTAAATTAGTCACATTGGCATCTACCTTCCACGCTGAGCATTGGAACTATGTGGAGACAACATTAGGAAGTTGCTCAGTGAATGGCTAATCAGCATAGAATTTTGCAACAGATGATAGATATATAGATGATAGATAGATAGATAGATAGATAGATAGATAGATAGATAGATAGTTTATTGCTACTTTCGTTATGTTGTAGCTATGTGGTCTTTTTCCATGTTGCAAGCTGCCTTGAGCATGGTCTGAACTGTGGAAAGGTGGCATACAAATAAAATTACAGTGGTGCCCCGCAAGACGAATGCCTCG